CTCTCTCTCTCTCTATATGTGCGGGTCTGTCTAAATTTAAAAAAAATACAATTTAATATAAGAATAAGGAAAAATATAATTAAAAAATATTAAAAAATATTAATATTTTTATTTACGTCTTTTCTTATTGTTATATTAAATTGTGAACTATGCATATAAAATAAGGCATAAACTTAGGATACCACGAGGCAACTTCAGAGAGAAGGGCCCTAAACCACGAAGAAGATTTGATAGATTTTTGTCGCATTACCAAACAATTTTCATTCATGATCTCTTTCCTTCATGCCCCCCTTATTCCAAGATCACCTTTTTCCATGTTTTAAAAATCAAATCAACCATATTGATTATAGTTTAATACATGTATAATCAAGGATAGAGTCAAGCCTTGGGTCCTCATCTTCTTTGACCTGGTTTAGACTTTAGACTTTAGACCAGAGTTGGTTCACTATTTTCTTCTCGTCCTGTCAACATACAAATAGAGGCTCGCGTCCCCGGGGACGCGCTTTACCCGTGTTTTCGCTGAGTTGGATGCCACGTGTGAAAGGCGCGTCCCCGGGGACGCGCCTTTGCCATATCAGCAGACACGTGTGGAAGGCGCATCCCCGGGGACGCGCCTTCCATTAAATGTCATAAATGCCCCCATCCGTTTTTCCTAACTACCCCTCCTCCTCCCCTATATAAACCCCCTCAACCCTCACTCATTCTTCACACCAAAATCATCTTCTCCTCTCTTATATAACTCAAATTCTCCAACTATTTGAGTTTTAAATTTGTTATTAGTGGTAAGAAATTTATTTTTATGTTAGTATTTTTTTAAATAGTTATTATTTTTTATATTAATATTTATGTAAATATTATTTTTTTATTAAAATAATATTTATATAATTATTATTTATTTAGAATTATTAATTTTTTTACTAATTATATTGTTTTGTCTACAGTTATAATGGAAAACGAAATGCTGTTGCGATTGGATATTGATCATATCTCCAGACATTTTAGCGATATGGTAATATTTTTATAATTAATGTTAATATTTAAATTTATTTTTATTTTAAAGTTATTATGAATTTATATTAATTTTTACTTTTTATAATATATATTATTTAGGATGCTGATCGTATTTTAGAAACTTTTATTAAAAATCCACGTATACCGACACCGGAACGTATTTTGCCATATTTGGCTTCTGCTGGGTTCGGGTATATTGCAACAATTATAGGCGGTTGCAAACTCGAACCTGTCCTAATTTCTGCACTGATTGAGAGGTGGAGGCCCGAGACACACACTTTTCACCTTCCATGTGGAGAGGCAACAATTACATTGGAGGATGTCTCTATGCATCTGGGGCTTCCCGTCGACGGAAATATGATGTGTGGTATGACGGATGGTGATTGGCAATCAATGTGCATTGATTATCTTGGAGCTGCTCCGCCAGAGTTTAATGGAGGTAGAATAGCTTTATCTTGGTTGAAAGCTAATTTTGAGGTTTTAAATGAAAATGCTTCAGAGGATCAAGCAAAGGCATGTGCTCGGGCATATTCTACGAATAATTGGAGGAATATTGATGCCCGACAAATCTTGCAACCAGGTGCATTGTATGTGGTTGCGGCATCTGATCGATTTTGATGAAGCTGGAAGATATAGTTGGGGTGCTGCAGTTTTGGCATTTCTCTTTAGAGAAATGTGTCGGGCGACGAATTATAAGAAAACTGCTATCGGTGGATGTCTTCTGCTTCTACAATCATGGGCGTGGTTCCGCATGCCTTTCTTATGCCCGATCTTGAATGAACCATACGTATTCCCCTTATTGTTGAGGTAATTTTCGAACTAAATTTTGATTTAAATATTTTCAATTAAATAGGGTGATATTTAGTTTATATTATATTTCATAGGTGGTCGATGAAAAGAAAGGACCATAAAAGTATACCTACTGTTTTAGAGGAAATTCGTTTACTTATTGATACGAAAGCTGGGTCTGAGGTATGTTTTTAAATTTGTTTAATTATTAATATTTTAATTTAAAATGTTAGATATAATTAGAATATTTTATTTATTTGAATTGTATATTTATATTTCAGTTTCAGTGGATACCTTATGCGAGCGATGAAGTGAAAGCTTGCATCCCACCCCACCTTAGTGGGTCATTAGAGGTATGGATATCGGTTATACCTCTTATATGTTATGCTATTATTGAGTGGCATCCAGTTGATCGCGTGCTCCGTCAGTATGGTTGTACGCAATATATTCCTGGAGCTCCTAGAAATTTAGACGACGTGCATAACATAGATAGACGGGGAAAGAAAGATGTTAACTGGGTGGTGAGACACAGAGGTTGGATTGCGCTTTGGGAGAACCGATATACACTGTTGGCCCCTCGACAATATTACGCTGAAACTGGTCATATGGTTACGGATAACTATGTGGACTGGTTTAATGAAAATGGGAAGCCGTTTCTACTTTCGGCGGAAGCACGAGGGGTTAACATTCCTAGGCGCCGAGAAAGACGTCAACCGTCTCAATATCATCGTCCCCCGACGCGTGGACGGAGAGAAGGCGCTACCGGTTCTGCATCAGTCCCACTACAACATCCTTATTCGTCGATGCCGCAGGGGTACATGCCCAGCCCTCCACTTCATATGCCAAGCCCACCAGTTTATATGCCATCTCCGCAGGGTTACATTCCGAGCCCGCAGGGTTACATTCCTAGCCCGCCAGGTTACATGCCTAGCCCGCCAGGTTACATGCCTAGCCCGCAGGGTTTTATACCATATGGAGGTGCATATACGACTATGCTTAATGATCCAGCATATGCTTCATATGCATCTTATTTGGCTGGTGGTGCTTCTCCGCAGACACCTCAATCTTCATCTGGATCACATACATCGATGCCAATGTTTCCACAGTTTCCACAGTTCCCGGGGAGCGGTGGGATTGTTACTAGCACTCCTCCAGGGTCGTTATTTTATACAGGCCCTTCAGCGTCATCTACACCAAATGAAGAAAATGCTGCTGATGATGATAGTGAAGATGAGGAGACTGAAGAACAAGTTCCACGAAGAAATCCTCCACGAAATAGGCAACCACCGCCATGTGGAACTCATTCGAGACGACGACATCGGTGATCCAGTTATATTTAATGTTATTTAAATAATTAAATTTCAGAATTTTATGTAATTTGGTTATGTTATTTAAATGTTTCATGGTTGTTACATACATATTTTTTAATGTTATTTTTTATTCACATTTAACATTAAATGTTTGATAAATGTTTTTAAAATACAAATTATATTATTCGAAATTTAAAATAAAAATAAAAATAATATTATTCAAATTTAAATTTAAAATATAAATTATAGTATTCGAAATTTAACATTAAATTTTAACTTAATATTCCAATTGTATTCGAAATTAAAAGTTATATTCCAATTATAGTTCACAATACTTAAATTGAAATTAAATTTATCCATACATATGATTTTATCATTAACATATATATTAAAACGTATACATTAAAATCAACTTATGTTGAGTTCATCGATCGACGGAATCAACCAAGAGGGGGGTGAATTGGCAATTTATTCAATGTCACATTTCAATGCTATTGAGGGACTCAGGTATATGAATTTGAGTTTCCGCCCATAGGAAACGAAAGAGACCCAAATGAGATTCAAACTTGGCTTACAATTGTACCAGATCCATTGCTATTGAGGGACTCAGGTCGTCCAAAATCTACTAGAATACATTGTGATATGGATATTCGGGAGAAGTCAACAGAACAAAAACGATGTGGGCATTGTAGAAACATCGGGCACAATAGAAAAAATGTCCAGCTCTGTTATCATCATATAACCGTTAACTCTTATGTAATTAAAGTTTTTAAATGAATGTTTTTATTTCTAATAATTTAATGTTATTGCATTTATATAATTTGTCAATGTATGTACACCTAAATAAATTTTTTTAACTTTTAAATACATAAATATATTTAATATAATTATTTAATATAATATTTAATATTATTAGTTATAATTTTTTCGTTATAACTTTTAAATTTATTAAATTAAATTTTCAATAAGACTAATTTTATAAAATATGTAAGTCTTGAAGATTAAATATGTAATCATACTAATTTATTAACTTATGCATCAATATTTTCGTTAAATATTGACTAGATTGATAACATTTAAATAATTAACTTATAAAATTAATAGATCGATAATCAAAATCAAAAATACTCGAAACTTGATAATTCTTACATTATAATCGAAACATTTTACATAATATATTATTAATTTATAATAATAATAAAAATAAACTATTTATTATAAAACAAAATACGTGTCTGCTGAGTTGGCAAAGGCGCGTCCCCGGGGACGCGCCTTTCACACGTGGCATCCAACTCAGCGAAAAACACGGGTAAAGCGCGCCCCCGGGGACGCGCCTTTGCCAACTCAGCAGAAAGGGTATTAGTTCTGGAAATATTGATCAAACGGTGTCAGAAAAGTAAAATTCAAATCAAACGGTGTCAGTTATGTAAAAACCCCACAAATAGACGCATTGCATCGTCAAATTCCAAAACAGTTGGATTCGGATGATAGAAGAATCTGCTAGGAAAAGTTGCTCTTTCTTTTTTTAGGGATTGAATGAATCTTCTTAATCTGCATGTTATTTCATATGTACTTTATATGTATCATATTAGCAATTTTAGATCTGACCCAAAGTATAAAAATATCGGGTATGGCACACACTTTATCAGACACTCTTGGGGAAAAGTGAGGTTCAACCTTCCTCTGTCAAACTCTTAGTATTATACAAACAGATAATTATTTGATTAAAAGTAGCATAAACACAATACCAATATCATATAATAATGCAGCAAGGCCTTTACCTAAGGCATCGGTGATCTGGTGAAAAGCTGGAAAGCACCATTTATGAAACCAATCAATTAAAATCAAATATTTTACATCTGCAAGCTCTATTTAAACCACAGCACTGAATGTTCAACCACTGCATTCGAGCATTTTTCTAACCAATGGCTTCCAAAGCTCTGCTGCTGTTTCTACTGGCAGCTTCTCTGCTAGTTTTAACGACTGTATGTCCATCTCTTCACTACCACTAAATACGCTTTTTACATTTTAGTTGGTGCTCATGTTTTTCATTTCTTTAGGTTGCTTCCAAGGAGGTGGGGGAGAACAATGAGGTGATTTTATAAAACATTATTCTACTGCTTTTTCTGTGTGTTTTGTCTAGTTTATATGAAATGAACCTTAAATGAAGTTGGTACCTGTTCTCTTTGTTTTCTAAAATTGTTGCATATCACGCTTCAGATTAAGGCTGCTGTTCCGGTCAAGCCTCCCACTGTATCACCACCAACCAAGGCCCCTACTCCCCCATATAAGCTTCCAACCCCAGTACCACCAGTCAAGGCTCCATCGCCATATAAGCCACCGTCTCCAGTACCACCAGTCAAGGCCCCTACACCACCATATAAGCCACCGTCTCCAGCACCACCAGTCAAGGCCCCTACACCAACGTATAAGCCACCGTCTCCAGCACCACCAGTCAAGTCCCCAAAACCACCGTTTCCAGCACCACCAGTCAAGGCTCCAACTCCTTCACCACCAGTCAAGCCTCCTACTGTCCCATATAAGCCTCCGACTCCTGCACCAGCACCCCCAACAAAGACTCCAATTCCAGCGCCAGCACCCCCAACCAAAGCACCAACTCCACCATATAAGTCGCCTATCCCAGTGCCTCCAGTTAAGCCCCCTACACCACCTTACAAGCCACCGACAACTCCTACACCTCCTTACAAGCCACCAAGTCCACCATTGCCGCCTGTAAGGACAAGAAAGGGTAAGAACTATTTCCCCCCCGCTTACCAGGGTTCAAATAAATCTAACATGAGCTTGTCCATAACTAAGGGAACCTTATCCTTACCTTTCTGACAATAACCTGTTGGAAAATTTTGATCGGCAGATTGCATCCCGTTATGCGGACAAAGGTGTAAATTACATTCGAGGCCTAACCTCTGCTTGAGAGCTTGTGTCACATGCTGCGACAGATGCAAATGTGTTCCACCAGGGACATATGGCAACAGAGAAATGTGTGGCAAATGCTACACCGACATGAGAACCCACCGCAACAAGCACAAGTGTCCTTGAAAATCCACGACGACGACGCTTCTGGAGGATGCTTTCTTATATGTAATAGTAACTTTGTAATAAGTTGTGAGAGTGGTGAAAATGAATGGTTTTCTTGTAGTGTATCCGTTTCTTATCCTACAGCTTATGAACTTGTCAAAAATAGTTTTTGTAACTGCAATTTGTGTCCTTTGATAATTTTAGTTGGTGTTGAATGAATAATCGACAACAGAGGCTTTAAATTTTAATCCAAAACTTTAATTTAACAAAATTAACTTCATCATTGGTTGACTTAAATAATTGATTCAATAAAATCGGAAATTAAATTATACCCCACTAAAAAAACAGCTTAAATAAAAAAAATAGTGCAATAGTGGAAAAATGACTGCCCCTTTTTCTCATTATGGGGTAAGGGGAGGAAACATATGATCAAAAGAAAGAAAGAACAAAAATTCCAATAACTGACTTCTAAAATGTATTTAAGTTTTTTTCTGAACTGAGACCAAGTAATTTTTGGTTTACAACAGATAAACCAAAGTTGATGAAAAAAATGGATGTAGGTGGGTTATTGGGCAAAGGATACTCGAAGCAAGGCAAATCAAACATACCCAGAAGACGAAAATGGGTGAAACCAAGGGAAACATGGCTGGTTCCTACTTGGTGTCATACTCCATGCCGTTCGCATGTTAAGCATCTTCGACATCTACTTCAAGACACCCATTGTTCACTGCATGGACCTCGTCTCCACTCGCTTCTCTCCTCCTGCCAAACGCCTTGTTCTTGTCGGTAAACCCTTTCTCTTCTTCTCCTTATACGCTTCTAAGATTCGAATTAGTTGATTCAAAAAAGTGTTTTTGGGTGTTGGGTGATTGTTAGTGAGAAATGGCTTGTTGAGCATGATGTAAATCTGGCAATTTAGCTAAATAGAAGTAAATAACATTCGGGGTATGTTAGTTATTTAGCTTTGAACTAAAAAGGCTAAGTTTTGATATGAAATATGAAGAGTTGGGTGTAATTGTTAAGCTTTGGTGAAACTAAATCATTGCAGCAGATGGTTGGATTTCGACGGGATTTTTAGAGCACCCTTTTTAAGTTTTGATATGAAAATATGAAGAGTTGGGTGTAATTGTTAAGCTTTGGTGAAACTAAATCATTGCAGCAGATGGGGATTGGGGAGTATCTCATGCTCGACCTCGTAATCAAGGCCTGGACATGTGGCTATAATTGCCGGCTTTTATGAGGACCCTAGTGCTGTTACAAAAGGTTAATGTTTTATGCGCTGTTGCATCGCCTTGGCGGAATTGACAAACAAATTTTTCCTTTCTCAAGCTTTTTCATTTTGATTGCAGGATGGAAAGCTAATCCTGTCGAGTTTGATTCGGTTTTTAATCGGAGTCGGCATACAATTTCTTTTGGTAGCCCTGATATTGTTCCAATATTTTGTGGTGCTTTGCCGCATAGCACTTGGGCTACATCTCCTCACGAGTTTGAAGTCTTCGATACTGGTCTGCTTAAAATTCTGGGAATGGCAAATCTCTCTTATAAATTATGAAACCGTTCTAAAAGCAAAGAAGGATACTTTAACAAGGGGGCTCAGATCAAACTATTCTTTTTTTGAGCTTTTGATCAAATACCTCTGCTAGTGATTTCGCATTTGCTTCTTTGCTTTCGGTCATACTTAATTTGTTTCTATTCCTATTAGATTACATTGATATGAAGACACTATATATGTTGAGACCATGCAAGGTTTAAACTAAATTGTATCACTACTCTTTATGTACATGGTTTTCTTGAAATCCTTAGATTGCAATGTTCACTAGTGTTTGTATTTATCTTTTGTGGTTTTCTCTCTCGTTTGAAGTTTTACACCAATTGATGAAAATGCAGATGCATCCTTTTTAGACTAATGGTCTTTTGATCAATTTCAGAACCTTCTGAATGAGTCCAATGAAGACCCAAAGTTGAAAAGGTTACTTGAACAAGATAATCTTGTTGTATTTCTGCATCTACTTGGTTGTGATTCAAATGGTCATGCAGATCGTCTCTTTTCATCCATTTATCTCAACAATGTAAAGGTTGGTGATCGAATTGCTGAACGTATATCTTCACGGCTGATCCTGGAATGAGTGACAAAGGTTGGTGAACTCTTTTATATACTTCACCTTAATTACTTATCTTGCTCTAGGCTGTATGACACAAAATATTTTGATATGACACCTAAGCTTGGGATCTTCTTCAAGGCAAGGTACTAAGGTGTGTTTACGAATAGGCTATCCCTTGGCCATTGCAAATTGTAACTTCACAATCACAGAGGAAAATTTAAATAAAATCAAATGAAAATGCTTTATCCCGAGTTTATTAAATTCCCAAAAAGAAATGAGACTTTTTTTAATATGCATAGTCCACAGTTTCACATCTCTCATTCGGACTTGGCTGTTAGTATCATGTACAGGTATGCGTCTAACACAGGTATATTCAATTTTTTTTTAAAGTTTTCCATGTATTTGGAGGGGCATATCCTCATAACCGTGTCCAGATACATCTATTGGGTGTTTCAACTTCATATCTTCCATTGATCTCGTCCTTGCCAATGGCTGCACATCAACCGACCGCTTACGATATTGCAAGTTGCACCTGCAGACTCATTAACTCAACCATGCAGATTAAATTGAATCTAGTATTCGTAAAAACATGCATTATCTTCCATCAATGGTTCCCCCCCCCTTTTTTTGTAGGTTTCTCAATGATTCTCCCATTATTTTTAGAAAATGCCCTCTTGTCCCGACTCAATTCTATATTCTTTGTTTCGCACAACCATTCCTTTTACTTTCAATTGGGTAGATCTCATTTTAAGCTCATGTCATCATGGTGCTCGTTTCACAATATTCTACGATTGAACAATATGATGCATGTCATGAGTTCTCCCTGGCCCTTTGTTTTGAAACCTGTGTAGATACGAAGCTGTCTTTCTATGGTGCATTTTGTCTCGTACTAATTGCATGGGTTCTACTCGAAAACTCACTTCTTTACTCGAGATAAAATCTTCTACTTGAGGGAAGAACTTGGAAGACAGTGTGTGGCTAGAAAACGATGGTAGATATTTGCAGCTGTCTGATATGAGAATTCCATTAACCTTTGTGACTCTTTCTCTACGTGTCAGGGAAATTTCGTTTATCCTTAGTTTTAATTTCATAATAAATTTAGTATAAAAGATATTATGCCATTAAATAAATTGGTTTATTTGACTGATAACATTACTCGATGATGAGATGCCAAGATTATTTCCAACGAGAAAGGGAACACGTCACCTTAATATTGTTATTTTTTATTAATCACTGATATCAAATATATTAATCGACTAATCTAAATCGGGTACTACAGAGACGAGGGTCATCCTCTATCCCAGTTTGTTCCATTCACAAACGTCAATGATTAAACCCATGATATACTTAAAGGACTTAGTGTCTCATTTCACTAAATCAACCGGTTGTTGATGATCTCAATATTGTTATTAAATAAAAAAATCGTTATATTTTTAAAATATATATATATATATATATATATATATTAGAGGAATAATTTATATAGAAAGCATTGTTAAAATAATGATAGCCTATTATTTTGTTACCTAAAACTATGAAAGATGAAACAACAAAACCATGATGCCGCAAAATTGAATGGTGATAGATGGGTCCAAGATGTAGGTGTGTTTTGAAATGGGAATATGAGCTGTTTTAGTATAACCCATCTCCCCGTAGGGACCAAGAAGCACATGCACACTTGACACCGGAATTTCTGGTCTATTTGCCAAATTAACATCTTTTTAGACATTTTTATATTAAAACTGAATCACACTATTTCTTTGATTGTATTCGTAATATTTATTTAATTTTTTTAATTATAAATAATATATACATATTTTATAGACCTTACTATTCAAAATTAAATCTCTTAAAGAGAACATAATTATTTACTATCACTTAAATAAATTAAATAACAGGTTTGAATCGAGTGAAACTTAACTTTTAAATATATAAGTGAATATTTAAATAAGACTTAATTATAAAATAAGTATTTAAATTATATCCGTTTTCATAAATAGGTGTTTAATTTTTTTAATGATTCATGTGCCTAACGTTATTAACGTTATCACTTAAGGTGTTTGGGTCGTAACTATCGTCAATTTTCTCTGTTAAGTGACACGTGTCACATTATGGTATTTTTGATTTAAAAAAATTAAAGATGTTATTATATTTATAAAAAAACAATTTCTCTCAAATTATAAAAAAATAAAACCCAAATCCCTAAAATCCTAAATCCCTAACCCACCACCGTCGTCACCCTTGCCGTCCACAACCACCACCACCATCGTAGTTCCTGTCATCTTCCTAGTCATACATTGTCATAGTTGCTTTCAATTAACCATCGAGATCGTGTGTGACCGCTATTTTCAACCTAGGGTTCACGGGGTACAAAATTTCAATTGGTCATCGATTGATCGCAATTTTATAGAGTTATTGATCTTTGGGGGGAGCTGAGGTCGGGTGGAACTTCATCTTCGGCGAAGACTAGCGATTGACGTGAGTTTAGGGGTTGAAATGAGGATTTTCAAAGTTTTGGGGCTATTTCATTTTTTATGTTTTTTAAATATAATTTTAATTTTTTAATTTTAAATAAATTTTTTAAAATTACCAGAATGTGACACGTGTCAGTTAATGTAAAAAATTAACGGTGTTTATTACCCAGACACTTAAAGTGGTAACATTTGTAACATTAGACACTGAATCATTCAAAAAAAATTAATCTCTTATTCGTGAAAAATGTTATACTTTAGACACTTGTTTTATAATTAACCCATATAATCTCAAACCCGTAGAAGCAACCTCAACATGTTGGATAAACTTATTAATATGCTAAACATTCCTAAATCACAATAACAACAACAACAACAATAAAACCCTATTCCCATATGCAATGGGATAAGGGGGAGGTAGGGTAGTAGGTTGCCCCCAATGCCTGGTTGAGAGCAACTTCTGTGGAAGACCTCAGGCAGTCAGAAAATTAAAAATAAAGGTAAAATGCAATGAATGTATAAATAAATAAATACATAGTTGAAACAACCTTCATATGCAGTCTACATATGCGCGTCTGTAATGGGAAGTAATCCCTACAAATAAATCTCTGCTTAAAAAGGCTATGCATATAGACAGAAACGTAAGACCCGACTAAAATTAAAAAGAGGAAACCTGAAGAGAATGATACATAGAAGTTAACGATAGCAAGCAACGAGAAGGAATAAAGTCAAATGAGTTAAAACCTAAACTAAGGTAATATTTCTTCGCTACCATAGTTCTAAACCTTCAAAAATTCCAATGATAGAAACGTATAAAAAGTAGAAGTCATTGAAATTTCTACAAAGGCATTAAACGCAGACAGAGGTGACAACCCCTATGGATGTAACCTACACTACTCGGTTACCCTGTTCTTAAGTCTCCATACTTTCCTATCAGAGGTCATGTCCTCGGTAAGGGCTAAATCCTTCAAATCAGATCTCAAGTTGTCTTACCACTTCCGCCTTAGTCGTCCTCTCCTTCTGGCACCGTTGACTGTAATCGACTCTACCCTCCTGATCGCATATGACGGTTGTCGCCTAAGGACATTCTCAAACCACCATAGTCTTCCCTCCCTCAATTTTTTGGATACAAGCACCACCCCCAAGGACATCCTAATAGCAGAGTTTGGTGTCATGTCCCACAGAGTCCTACCAAATGCCCATCGAAGCATTCTCATTTCTGCGGCCTCCATCCTCCTTATGTGATCCTTCTTGATTGTCCAACATTCTGATCCATACAACAGCGCTGGTTTTATTGTCATTCTATAAAATTTTCCCTTAAGTTTTAGAGGTACTTTATTGTCACACAAAACTCCGGTAGCAGCCCTCCACTTTAGCCATCCCGCCTTTATACGGTGTGTAACGTCATCATCCACACCCCCATCTTTATGTATCATAGACCCTAGGTACTTGAAACAATCATTTGAGGGGAGAACGTGTCCTTCTATGCATACCCCTACATCTTCATCATTTTGGTTCCCACTGAAGTTTGAACATAAATACTCTGTCTTTGCAATATTGATCCTTAGACCTTTTTCTTCCAAAGTAGTCTTCCAAGTAACCAGTCTACTATTTAGCTCAGTTCTTGTTTAAGCAAATAGGACAATGTCGTCAGTGAAAAGCATACACCATGGAACACCGTCTGGTATCTCACAATAGATGTCGTCCATAATCAAGGTAAAGATGTAAGGGCTAAGAGCCGACCCCTGGTGGAGTCCGATTTTCACCGGGAATGCCTTGGTGTCTCCAACTGTTATTCTGACGTATGTAGCAGATCTGCAGTACATATCACGAATCGCCCGGATATAAACAGTTGGGATCCATCTTGTTTTCAAGGTCTTCCAGATTGTATCACGGGGAACGCTATCATACGCCTTCTCAAGGTCAATGAACGCCATGTGAAGATCTCTATTTTTTTCCCTATATTTCTCCTTAAGCCGTCGAAGTAGATGAATCGCCTCCGTAGTAGACCTGCCTGGCATAAAGCCAAATTGGTTTTCCGAAACCCTAGTAACCTGTCTCAACCTAGCCTCTATCACCATTTCCCATAGCTTCATGGTATGGCTGAGTAGTTTAATACATCTATAGTTGCCATAACGTTGGGGATCTCCTTTATTCTTATAGATTGGTATCACCGTAGACTCTCTCCACTCCTCTGGCATCTTGGCAGTCTCTAAAATAATATTAAAGATATTGGTCAACACTTAACTCCCTCTTCTCCTAGGGCCAACCACACAGTGATAGGAATTTGATATGGACCAACAGCTTTGTCTCTCCCCATCTTTCTAAGAGCCATTTTGACTTCCTCAAACCCAATCCTAGTTGTAGGGCATTCATTGGCCGTAGTAAGATGGTCGGCTGACCCATCAACGATACTATCTCTACAGGGAGAGGCACCGTCATTAAATAAGCCAAAGAAGTAACTACCCCAAACCCTCTTAATATCATGATCTTTCACTAAAAAAACACTATTGTTGTCCTTAATAAACCTAATGCTACCTATATCATTTTTCCTATTCTCCCTAGATTTTGCTAGCCTGAAGATGCCGTTTTGTCCTTTCTTGGTGTCTAATCTCTTGTACGTTTCCTCGTATGCCTTATCATTTGCTTTAGCAACCGTTTTCTTGGCTTCCTGCTTCGCCTCCTTGTATCTTTGTTTAGCTCTCGATCTTTCTTCGTCGTCATTGCATTGTATATACTCCTTGAAGCAAGTTTGCTTTGTCTTCACCTTAGTTTGGACTTCGTCGTTCCACCACCACGATTCTTTATGCTCATTTACCTTCCTTGTCGAAAACCCAAGGGTGTTTTTGCCCACCTCTCTGATGGAATGTGCCATATTTTTCCATAACATATCTGCATTATTTGAGTTTATAGTTCCAAAACATGTATTAGACATAACCTTACTCCTAAAGTCATCAGCTGTCGCTCCATGTAAGTTCTTCTAAAGGATCTCAGGTTTACTAATTTTAGCTCTCTTGTGAGTGCTCCGCCTATGGCTTACGTGGAACACCAAAACCTTCAATCTATGTTGTGATGCACATGCCTATTCAGGGAACACCTTACAGTCAATGCAAGCCCACCGATCCCGATTTCGAACCAGGATGTAGTCGATTTGGGTACAACGTCCCCCGCTATGAAACGTAATCAAGTTCACATCTCTCTTGTTAAAGTAGGAGTTAGTGACTACCATATTGTGTGCAGTAGCAAATTCAAGCAACGTACGACCCTCCTCGTTCCTACTACCAAAACTGAAACCACCATGAACACCGTCATACCCGTCGGTTGCACTACCTATATGGCCATTGAAGTCTCCCCCTATGAAAACTCTTTGGTCCTCCGGAATGCTCCTAAGTACATCATCTAACTGATCCCAGAAGCAACGTTTCTCCCCCTCCTCTAGGCCAACGTGTGGGGCGTACACTAAAAGGACATTCATCACTTCCTCTTCTATAATAACCTTAATCATCATGATCCTATCCCGGTATCTACAAACTTTAACTATATTTTCCTTGAGCCTAGAGGATACCAAGATACCCACCCCATTTCTAACGTTATCTACGTATGAATACCACAACTTGTACCCATTACACTCTCTGGCGCGAGCCCCTTTCCACATAGTCTCATGAATACAAGAAAAATCTATTTTTCTATTATTAAGTACGTCGGTCAGCTCCAGCAGCCTAGCATTTAATGTGCCTACATTCAACGAACAAACTTTAAGTCTAGTCTCCTTGATACCACTCTGTCGAGCCCTCTCTCTATACGCCCTATGGGATCTAAAAGAAGGACATGACCTCAAGTAATCATCTAAATTTGAAGCTATGTGGAACTATGAAAAGGAATCCAAAGAAGACAGAAGGTGCACCAATAAACGCTAGAGAATTGAGGGGTGCTAAGAAGCCTAGTTGGTTACTTAATAGGATTTTAAGACAAATTAACACTATCTTACTTAACTTAAGGCCAACAGCTAGAAACCAATGTTTGGATTTATATCTTACTTAAAAATCGATAATGATATAAGAAACTAGGAGTCTAGGGCAATAAAAAAAATACAAATCCAGTAAATCCTATTCAAAGAAAAGTGCAAAAATAAAGATCCAGTAGATCTAAGTTCCCACTAAACAAACAATTTTGAACATCAAACAATTAACAACGTTAATGATTATTGTAAAAAATAAAAATAATGAAATTTTGAAGAAAATTAACTACAAAAATTACTCAATTCTTCTTATAATCTAGTTCGTGACTCTAATATTAACTACAAAAATAGTAGGCAACGTTCATTTGAGATAATCTAATCAATATATTGTATAATTTAATGGATAACAAAGTAAATCAATTTGAAATAAGAATCGATATTAGAATTTTTCTATAAGCTCGAAAAAATATCTTTGGATCGCATTAAAATTTACGCGATGAAAGCATTAATCAAGACAAGTTGGTAGAAGATCGAGTTCAAAATAAATGGAAATTTGTTTTTGACTTCTCGTAAGATCTATGAATAAATCGCAATTGTAATGAAGTGGATCAAGCTAAGTAAAGATCTAGCTACAAAGAAAGCATATCAAGTTAAGTTTAACACTGTCGATACTTCTACAGCTGTAGATCTCAATTGTATAATCGTTTAAACATCAAACTCAAGCATTAAAAGAGACAGATGACAGATCGGTGGATTTTGAAGAAAAATGAAAGCGAAGATAAAAATTTACCTCAGTAAAATGAAAAGAGAAGGCGAAGAAGTTCAAGAACCTGGAGAAACAAGACGGGAAGCGAAAAGCACTGAAGAACAGAGGCCAAAGCTGCCTGTTTGCTGGGTTTCGGCTTCAGCCCGAATTAATCCTGCGAAAAGCCAGATCTGTACAACCACTGGATTTGTTTCGAGTATTACAAATTTGGAAATTGGATTCAAATCCATTTTTTCGCCCTTGATTGGTCTAAGTGATGAACATGCACCATTGCTTCTTCTTCACTTTCAAACGGCTAATGTCTAAAACATGGCAACGGTTGTAGTTTTTGGTCAACCCGACCAAAAAATATACATATTTCACCAAAATTAGACTTTATCTTAAAATTTTATATCATCCATCGACTCAATCTGAAAAATATATATCCTCTACTCGACTCCTATACGATTTCAATTTTTAGAGTATAAATTCAACTCGACCATATCGGATATAAAATAAAAATTTAATTAAAAAATAATAAAATTTAAAAAAAATTACATTATTATCCTCCTATCGAAGTTTTTTCACTATCTATCCGAACATGAACCCGAACATAATAAGACCCTATAAAAATCTGTCCCGACCCAATTCGAATACGACTTAAATAAAAAACAGATCTTATTGAGTCGGATTCAAGTTAAATTGACATTGAAGAATAACATAGTTATCAACGGATGAGATTTCACGTGCATAAAACAAAGTGGACCCCTTCCTCCCTATTCCAAAAGCCACGCGTCCACATCTTACATCCCGTGATTACTGCCGCGGTCTACCACTTCACCGGTAAAACAGTAAAAACAAGTGCAGTTAAAATAAGTAAGAAAAATGAAAAAGTATACTCCACAGCTCAAAAGCTTAAAAGTGGCCATTCCCATCTATCTCCTCCTCCACCATTCTTTCTCAAAACTTCAGCCTAATTCAGCTAAAATGCCACAGTCATCTTTGCCACCAACGCCGCCATCTGCGATGGTCATTGTTATCTTCTTTCTCTCTTCCGCCGCTTTGCTTTGTGAATCGAGGTTAAGCTTAGATTACTATTCCAAAACCTGCCCCAGTTTCAACAAAATCATGCAGGAAACCATAACCAACAAGCAAATCACCAGCCCCACAACGGCCGCCGGAACGCTCCGCCTTTTTTTCCACGATTGTCTCCCCAACGGATGCGACGGTTCAATTCTCATTTCCTCCACCGCATTCAACAAAGCCGAACGCGACGCCGACATCAACCTCTCCCTCCCCGGAGATCCCTTCGACCTCATCGTCCGAGCCAAAACAGCCCTCGAGCTCGCCTGTCCGAACACCGTATCCTGCTCCGACATCGTCGCCGTCGCCACCCGTGACCTCGTGACGATGCTCGGCGGATCCTATTATAACGTCTACCTGGGTCGTAAAGATTCACGGTCATCATCGGCATCTTCGATAGAAGGGAAGTTGCCGAAACCCAGCATGGGTATGCCACAACTCATCAACCTCTTTGCTTCGAGTGGGTTCACTGTTCAAGAAATGGTGGCCTTAAGCGGCGCACACACGATCGGCTTCTCTCATTGCAAAGAGTTCAGCTCGAATATCGGCAATGATACCCACTACAATCCCAGATTCGCTCAAGCATTGAAACAAGCTTGTGCAGGTTATCCAAATAACCCAACACTCTCCGTTTTCAATGATATTATGACCCCCAACAAGTTCGATAACTCGTATTATCAGAATTTGCCAAAGGGTTTGGGGCTTTTGGAATCAGATCATGGATTGTACAGTGATCCAAGAACAAGGCCGTTCGTGGAATTGTATGCAAAGGATCAAAACAAGTTCTTTCAAGATTTTGCAAAAGCCATGCAGAAGCTAAGTGCTCATGGGATCAAGACTGGGAGGAGAGGAGAGATTAGGCGCAGGTGTGATGCTGTTAACTAACCATTTTTAGCTTGTTAATTATAATCTGAGGTTGCTAAGTTAAAGTTTGGGTTGATTTGAAATCATTTGATAAATATTTATACTTGTATTGGTTTGTATCAATTGTTATATCGCCAGGCTTAAATTTGTATACATAATTACTTCATTCTGTTTTCTGGGTTTCAAAGTTTAAATCTTGGAGTTCTTGCGTATTTTAATTAGTAACTTTCAGCCTAGTGGATCGTGGCAATGGAAACAACAACGAAATCAGCTGGAAACATGCCTTTTCTTGTGGGTTTTGGGAATTGGTGATGTTTGATTGTTCAAGTTACATTTTGCCATTTCCCATCTGCTACCATGTGGGGTGGTTCATTTCTTGAAATGCAGAGTTTGAAAACTTATATTTGTATATTTTCTCTGTATGTTCTCAGAGTTCAACAACTTTTCCTGCTATTCAAGAAAACACTTTTCCTGGAAATCAGCCTTACTTTAGATGTTGATTTGGTTTGTTACTCAAAGCTTTAAAACTATTTTGAGGATGGGAACTTCACTGAAATTGGATATTTCTTATCATAGGTTTAAAAAAAATTGTCTAAATTATATCTTTGTGAATCTAATCTTTTAAAGTAAAAGTCTAAATGTTTTTAAAGTTGCAATTTAATGTCAATCTTTCCACGGCAGTTGGGAAAAATCTATCAACCACTTCAAACGTGACACAAAATGCATTTATAAATTTTTTAAAATTTCTTTGTAAAATAACTTAATCATTAATATTAAGAAAACTTATAATTTTCTAACATCTTACGAAAAAAAACTTCTAATCACAAAACCCATTATAGTCGTTAGCCAACACCGTCATCTTTGAACGTTTACTTACATGTGGTCGGATCTCACAATCGTCCTCTCTTTTCTCATTACCCCAATCCCGTAAATCTTTAAACTTAAATCCTTAAATCCATCTAAACTCTAAATCCATAAACCTTTAATAATCAAATCTCTAATCTCTTTCCACTCAGGGTGCTCTTTCCTTCCGTCGACGAATTTTCGAAGGAAAGGAAAGGGGCAACTAGATGAGGAATGGATTAGAGATTCAGAATAGGGATTTGGTTATTGGATATTTAAGGATTCAAGTTTATGAATTTGAGCGACGACAAAAGGATGACTTGCTATAGGGGTTCGATGACAGGTGAGTTGGTGTTTAGTGGTGGTAACGGTGGTCGTGATCGATAACTGTAATGAATTTTGGGATTGAAGATTTTAGGGTATTTAGGTTACTAATTTTGAAGTTTTTTGTGAAACATTGATTAATGATGAATTTTAAACCATTTTTTATGATCTTAATAAAATTAACCTTAAAATAATAGTTCTAAAAATGTTAAATAGCTATTTTAATTTTTTTTAAATAGTTAAAACAAAAAATAATAACAATGCCAAAATAAAACCAATGTGGAATAGACAGATAACTTAGATGTTTGGATATATCATTGAATAGAGTGTTCCATAATCAAATTGTAAAAGGCGAAATAGGGCTGACACTGCACCGACAACCAATTAAAACACTATAACTTAGCAGACAACAACTTTGTCTTGTATACAGGGAGATAAAAAACTTGGTTGCAATTCCTTTTTGATGCTAATGCCAGTGGCTATGATACGCGTGCCGACAACATATAACTATACAACAGCTCAGCTTCTTAATTTCAATGGGTTAAAGTAAATAATAATCACTCAGTCTCAGTGCATCACAATACCTGACATCTCTACTATCTTGTTTGATACTGGTATTGACATGTAATATGAATTTACCTTTGATAGTAGATTTTTATCAATGATTTATTTTATTTTTTTAAAAGATAAATATTAATGTGAGAAAAACATTTAGGAACTTGAGATGAACTTTATAAGAGTACTAAACTCCTCTTCTGATGTAAGTAAATAATAATATAAAAAAAATACTGAGCCCAAAGTGTCGATAATTGTTTGGAGTAGTGAATACTAAATCCAGAGATGGGCTGAAGTAACATTATATAGGCTTGGGCTCAAGTTTAACCCATTAAGGTAACCTTTTATTTTAGAGAATACGACAAATATTATAATTTTCATGGAACTCATCACCTCGATTTAATAAAAAATAATTTTTATTTAAACTCATCAATATAAGATGACGAGTTTCAAGAAAATATAATTTTTTACTAAAATTTATTATATCAAAATAAAAAAGTTTAAATAAAAGAATTTTTTAATTAAAATTTGTTACATCTATTTTTATATAAGGAACGTGGCGTATTTTAATTGGATCATTTTATCACCCGCAAACTTTCTAGTAAGGATTGTGCCGTTTTGTTGGAAAGAATAAAGGACAAACTGAATCAATGGTCCAGCAAAAAGCTTAGCTTTGGAGGGAGATTGTAGCTAGTCAAATATGTCCTCTTTAGCATCTTTAATTTTTGGTGTCGGCAGCTTGTCATTCCTAAAGGAGTCATCAAGGATATTCGAGAGATTATGTATGCGATTTTTCTGGAAAGGTTGTGACGCCTCAGCTAGAGGAGCCGTGTGGGCTGGGGTCAGATCTGATCTTTAAAATCCTAGGGTGGACTAGGACTTAAAGACCTTGCTCTTTGGAGTAAATCTTGTTGCTTGCTGCTAATTATGAACATCCTGGCTAATGAAGGTTCTCTGTGGATCGCCTGGTTACAAGCTTATTGCTTTAAAGCTGAAAGTTATTGGGAGGTTGGTTGTAAGCCTCAATATAGCTGGATTTTAAACAAATTACTGAGGTTGCGGGATGATGAGAGTAAACTGTTTTCTCCCAGTGCAAATTTGAGCCTGATAAAAAGCAAATGGATTTGGGATAACATTAGAATTAGCAGGGAGAAGGTGAGTTGGCATAGGATCATTTGGTTCCCTTCCCACATACCAAAATTTTCCTTAATTTCGTGGATGGTCATCCTCGATAGGCTGTCAACTAGAGACCGACTTATTCGTTTTGGTGTGGTTAATGATGATGCTTGTGTTGTTTGTGGTTATAGTATGGAATCACGCAACCATTTATTTGCAGATTGCTCATATGCTAGGAATGTTTGGAATGCTGTCCTGGGGCTATGTGGGATTCATAGCATTGCTGACAGTTGAGACCAACGTCTTAATTGGCTGGTTGTGAGTCTAAAGGGTAAATCGCTTCGAACAAGAATTTTAAAGTTGGCCTAGACTGGTTTTCTGTATCACATGTGGGAAGAACGCAATTTCAGATTATTCAGGGGTCTTTCTCGATTAAATGAGGATACTGTAAAAAGAATTAAGGAAGCAGTGAAAATTAAATTATATAGCCTTAGTTTACACATTATAAATGATGGTAATAGAGACATGTACATAAACTGGGGACTGATATAGATTGAGATTGTTCTCTTATAACAGCTTTGCTGCATTTTCTTTGGATGGAATATAACTTAATTATCAAAAAAAAAAAAAAATATTGGCTAAAACGAAGTTTCCTTGTCCCACCCAAAATTATAAAGGTTGGCTTTCAACATGGAATTGGTTACCCGACAGGCCTTGGCTTACTCCCCAAGACAACCCCTTTCTTATATATCATCTCCCCTCCGACCTCTCCCTACAATGACACAATTCTGATAAAATCTTTCATCAATGGCCGGAGGAACAGAAGCTTTTCCTGATCTCGGAAAACATTGCCAATTCTCAGGTTGTCATCAATTAGATTTTCTTCCTTTCAAATGCCAAGCTTGCCGTAAGGTACCCCTTTTCTTATCCTTCTTTCTTTTTCCTTTTGTTGATTGACGAACTTTAACGGATGAATGCTCGAAGCATGCAAATAGGTTAAACCCAGATTCATATTTATGTTTACATTCATGTTTCTGATGTTGGCATTAACTTCTGTATTAATAACAAATCCGTGCAGGTGTTTTGTTTGGAACATAAATCGTGCAAGTCTCACGAATGTCCGAAACTGGAACATAACAGCAGGAAGGTGATTATATGCGAAATCTGTTCGACTTCGATCGAGATAACAGGCAAAGAAGATCAAGAGAAGATGATATTGGAGAAACATGAGAAATCTGGGGATTGCGATCCAAGGAAGAAGAAGAAACCAACTTGCCCTGTTAGGAGGTGTAAGGAGACATTGACATTCTCTAACAGAACCGTTTGCAAGGCTTGCGGATTGGAGGTTTGTTTGAAACACCGGTTTCCGGCCGATCATGCTTGCAAACAGGTTTCCTCCTCTGCACCAGCGGCGGCTAGAGGAGGTTGGAATGACAAGTTCTTGGCAGCGTTTAATCTGAGGAATGGCAAAGATTGTGGCAAAAGCGGGCGGTCTTCATCATCAACTACTCCATCCTTAAAAGCCTATTAGGACTTTCATGGTTTTTCTCTTTTATTTTCATTATTAATGTATCAATTTAATGAAAAGGAATGAATATCTCCATAGCTTTAATCTTCTTTCTGATATGTTGTGATCATTGACATCTTAAATGTTTGATTCTTTGGCTCATCAATGAACTCTCCAAAAGAATTCCAAAATCAATGGCAACAAATAAATCATTATTGACGCAAAGAGCTTAACTATAATCCAAAAGATAAACTAATTTATCCCCTATGGACAACAAGTATACATATAGATTTGACCTCGGTTTCATTTTTCTTCTCTTTAGGGGGGCCAAAAACAAGTTATGACTGTTTAAGAAGTAAATTTTGAAGTGTCAAGCGTTACATGTTGGCCGTTGTTTCCTTGATTTCTTCCGATGTGCTGGTCTGCATATAGTGAAGAAAAATATGCACGTTGTTAGAGAAAACACCACAAGAAAATACTGATATATACAAGATGCCCATCAGCTATGTTGCTCCGACTCTTTTCTTTTAGTATCCGTATTCGACACCCATGTATGAAGTATATCTAGACATGCGTATAAGATATAATCCTCCAGATGCATGCAAAATTTCAAAACAATTGAATGTATCCATGTTAGACTCCTACTTGTATTCAACATTCACAGTCAAGTCTAAGTAGCATAGCTTGTAAGCACAGACGAAAGTAATTAGTATCCACAATATAAACCTGATCCTGACCAGCAAAGTCGTTATCTCGAGTGAGAAAGAGCATGCAATGACATTCTTTCCTGTCAAATAGTTGTGGAAATTGAATAAGAGAGCATAGATTAGATTAAAGTGACTGACATATTAGCTGTAGGTTCATGAAAACTGAAAATGTCCGAGTGCCAGCGGTAATATCATTGTTCTCGAGCTGCATTCAAGAAACCAGCTTTTGTACCTTATAAGGCAACAGCCTCGATCAAAGACATGTTTTAACAGTTAACCTTTAATGAGCCAACCGTAAACTTTCAAGGTTCAACACATTAAACAATTGGCTTGTTAAAGAAAGTGCATAAACTAGGACATACCAAAGTATTTCTTAATTGTCTTGTTTTCAAAAGAGAGTCCCCAGGAGTCGTGGAGCATAGATTGATTAAGTTGTTTATTTTTATATCTAAAAAAATGCTTAGGGGAGAGGAAAAGTCACGTCCTTTAGGATTAGCTTGAATGGCGTTTGTTAACAACCTCAACCGGAGAATATCTAGGAGAACCCTTCGGGAATTTTTCGATCACCATGGGAGGGTTGTCAGAGTTTACATTCCTGCAGTTAATAACAAGCTCAGGTATAAGGACTTAACTTTCACATTCGTTCTGTTCTCTGCGGAGAAGGATATTTTCAACGTCTTAAGAAGGTTAGATGGGGTGAAAATTGATGGAAGGTGCATATCTGTGAGTAAAGCAAAGTACCAGAAAAGTCGGGAAGAGTTGGTGCTGCGGACGGAGGTTTTGTCAGGCCCTCATGGGGAAGGAGATAGGAGAAGGAAGCTAAGGAGAAGTTGTGGCTCATCTTCAGGCAGTCCGAGAGATAGAAGAACGTACAAAGAAGTCATTGAAGGCAACTTGGCATCGGAACAATTGAATAAGGAGGTAAGATCAACAATAGAGACCCTCCAACATCGGTAAGACTCGATCGTTTCTTTATTAGTAGTGATATTACGAGAATTTTCCCAAGTCTTTTACAGAGGATTCTACCAAGATCGCGCTCTGACCACAATGCCATTGAATTGGCAAAAGAAAAGGATAGATGGGGTCCTAAACCTTTTCGTTCGTACAATTACGTTCTGGAGGATGAAGGTTTTGTAAAAATGGTGGATGAAAGTATCAACAGACTGGTGATGGGGAACAATCGTAGGGGAATCCTTAGCGTTCTTAAGGGTACTAAAGCTGAAATGAAAAAATGGTGGGGGAATAAAATTGATAGGATCACAGCATCTATTAGTGAACTGGAAAATAAAATACATACCTTAGAGATTCGAAATCAAGTGGGAGTAGTAACTTTGGTTTCACAGGAGATTTTGGGGAAGTTAAAGCAAGATTTGTGGTCTTTGTACAAGATGGAGGAAAGTATTTGGCACCAAAATTCAAGGGCGAAATGGGTGAAGGACGGTGATCGAAATTCTAGGTTCTTCCACATTTGTGCTTCTAACAGGAGAAGAATAAACACAATTAAGGAACTGCGTGTTCAAGGAAAATCAGTTTCGGATCTGGATCAGATTAAGCAGTTTGTTCATGATTCTTTCAAAAAGGCCTACAACAACTGTCTCTCTCTAGAAGTGGAAGGGATGAACCTAATTTTTTCCAAGATATCTACTGAGGAGAGGACCTTTCTGGAAAAACAATTCTCGGAAGCTGAGGTTTGGGAAGCAATTGCTTCGTCGGATAGCAACAAAGCTCCGGGCCCTGACGGTCTGAACATGAGATTCTTTAAGAAGTTCTGGCCTAACCTAAAAAAATTTATTATGAATTTCTTACGGGATTTTTTCTTAGGAAAGAGATGGGAGAAGGGGATTAATCACACCTCTGATCCCGAAGAAATCCTCCCCGGAAGTGTTGGACGATTACAGACAATTAGTTTGGTTGAGGTTTGTACAAGATCTTATCCAAGGTTTTATCAAGAAGATTGAGGTTATGCATCGATCATATTATAAGCTCCAATCAGTTTGCCTTCATCCCGGGTAGACAGATACTCGATTGTTCTTTTATCGCCAGTGAAGGTATAAATTATTGGAGGAAAGGTTTAAGAGGACTAGTTCTTAAAGTAGATTTTAGGAAAACTTATGATTCAATTGAGTGGCCCATCTTGATCCATGTTATGAAGGATTTCGGTTTTGGAGATCGTTGGATCTCTTGGATTTATAACTGCATCTCAACTGTTTCTCTTTCAGTACTGGTTAATGGGTCACCTACGAATGAGTTCCCAATGGCTAGAGGACTTCGTCAAGGATGTTCTCTCTCGCCACTATTATTCAATTTGGTGGGTGAGATCCTAAATTTGCTGCTTTCAAAGGCTGTGGAGGAGGGGTTGTTCAAGGGTTTTCGGGTGGGAAGCCAAGGTAATTCCTACGACCTAACCCACTTGTAATTTGCCGATGATTTAATTATTTTCTGCAGAGCCTTAAGAGGTGAAATTGTCAATGTGGTTAGGATCTTGAAAGTGTTTGAGATAATGACGGGTTTGTAGATGAATTGTTCGAAGAGCAGATTGTTTGGGATTAATGTTGATGATGATACTTTGGGAGAGTTGGCTGCGGCGACTAACGTTTCGTTAGGGTCCTTTCCCTCGGAGTATATTGGCTTGCCCCTCGGATCAGTAAGGAACTCTAAAGTTTTATGGGATCCGGTAATAAAAAAGTTTATGATAAGTTAGCAGGTTGGAAGGCTAACACTATGTCTTTAGCTGGTAGGTTGGTACTTATAAAATCTGTGTTGTCTGCCCTTACAATTTATTATTTATCGATGTTCAAGTTACTGGCTGCTGTGTGCACGAAGTTGAACTTGATTATGGCAAGGTTTTTATGGGGCAGAAGCGAGGAGAATAATCGTATTCATTGGGTAAAGTGGAGCACCATATGCTCACCTAAGGAGTGTGGCGGTTTAGGAGTTCCTGACCTAAATTTACTAAACCAAGCGCTACTTGGAAAATGGGTGTGGAAATTCGGCAGTGAGTCGGATTCGTTGTGGAAAAATGTAATAGGCAGTAGATATAATTTGGATCCTTGGTCCTTATTTTTGACTAATCACACTTTCAAACTGGCCTCGTGGTTATGGAGAGGGATTGTTGAGAATTGTACGAAAGAAGACAGGTTTGGAATGTGTTATCAAAGCCATATTAAGTGTCGACTGGGAGATGAGAAAGCTCTTTTGTTTGGCATGACCACTGGCTTGGCAATATCCCTTTGAAGTCTCAATTTCCCATAATTTTCTCCCTCGCTGAGTAAGAATGGGAAGATAGCAGATTATGGAAGCGTTAGTTCAGCAGGTTGGGTTTGGAATATCCGGATGAGAAGGAACCTAGCGGATTGGGAACTAGATCAATGGGTAAACTTAATGACTCTATTATCCATTATGAGTCCTGTTTCGGATGCTAAAGATGGTCTGATTTGGATGGGGAATGGTGAGGGATGCTACTCAGCTAAATCTGTTAGAGCTCCTGTTCTTAGTAACGAGGGAGATTGGCATTGAGGGCTAAGCTACGTTTGGAAGGGACTAGTTTCTCCAAGGGTGGAGACACTGTTGTGGCAAGTAGCTCTTCGGAAGGTGGCGGTTAAATTGGAGCTGGTCAAAAGAGGGGTCACAGCGGTGGAAAATGTGCTTTGTCCTCTGTGTAAATCGTGCCCCGAAACAGTCTCCCACCTGTTATTTCCTGTGTTATATCTTGGGGTCTTTGGAATCATTTGATTAGTTTTTGGGGTTTATCAGTGGTCCTTCCGGAGAATCTTATTTCCCTCCTGGAAGAATGGGATAATTTAATTCCTAAATCTAGATGTGGCCGTTTATCCCGAGGATAGTTATCTGATCAATTTAGAAATATAGGAACTCATTGGTTTTCGACAATGGATCAGATGATTCTATTTCTTTATACTTCGTAGCAAGTTTTCGTTTGGCCTCCTGGTTTGTAGCTAAGTTCCCTGTTTCTAGATTGAGTCTGGATCCTTTGATTTGCGATCCCTCACTAGCAGATTCAAGTCCATTGTGGAGGCAGCCTGCTGCTCCTTCTACTTCTTGGTCTCCTCCTCCAGGCTATTACAAGGTAAATGTTGATGGTGTTGTTAACTCGGATTGGGAAATGGTATTGACGGACTGGTAAGATATTCGTGTGGTCAAACTTTGGGCTCCTTCTCGGGCCCTCCATTTTTAGCAGAACTAAAGGCTGTTAGAGAGGGTATTATCGTTGGAACTTCGTCCAATGGTTGCAGATTTGGTCGACTAATTTTGGAATGCGATTGTAGCAACACTGTTATGTGGATAAAGGATTTGTCAGGGTGCCCTGCTCCTTACGTTAGTTTAGTACAAGAGATAGGTTCTATAATTCGTAGAGATGATATTACCATCAAGGTGATTAGTAGGAGCGCTAATTGGGAAGCTGATGACTTAGCTAAAAAGAGAATAGGATAGTTTGGGTATGGTTGAGGCTTTATAGATATAGTTGTTTCAGGGTTTGTAAGGTTTTATGTTTTTGCAAGGTTATTGTAGATTATCTATTGTATTTTGGGGATATTTATGTCGATTTTATAATAAAATGAGGTACTTTTTTCCCCTTCTGCTTTTTACCAATCCTTACAGGAATTAGTAATTATGAAGTGGTTTTTAATGAGATCTCCAATACTTTCAACAACAAAAAAGTGTCCCCTTGGAAAAGAGAACTATAGCTTGAATTCTTCATTGTACGACCACAAATGCAAGAAACATAGTGTGCTGAAAGTCCGTTGGATCCATCTCAATCACGAGTTTAAAGTTATGTTCGTAATTTCAAATAATAGCTATCTAGTTCTTCAGGACTGTGTTATCGCTTTAGAAGTTTTCACTAAGTCCATAATCAGCATAACAACGCAGCTAATATTTATAAGGGACCTCAAAAGGTTTTATACCATATAACAATGGCCATAGACGGCTCAATTTAGATAGGCACTAATCTTCTATGCTTTTCTAGGATGAATCGAAAGACCTTTCTACTTTCCATACAACTTTTGCACTTAGACAAAGTTGCGCGAGGAATCTTCATAAAATATGTTGCAACAATATATTTACCTCTCCCTCATCGGAACGCATGGACAGTTCCAAAAGCCCTGACTGACCTCGGCAGCTTTGTCATCATAATGCCTGTAATATATTGGAATTACACTTCAATGCTTGCAAAATCTGATATATCTATAAATACCAAGATATGTGAGCGTAATAGGATGAACTATTCCGAACAAGATTCAGAGATAATGAGGGGAAATGTTTACCTACAAGGGCAAAGTGGCGCACCCAATGAATCTTTATGCTCAGCCAATCCCTGTTAAAATATCCAAAACGAGCTTTTTTTAAATCCCATTTTCAGATTTTTTTTGTGTATAATATTTTGAACAGACGGCGAACCAGATAGATAAAATAAAGAATAAGAACTAGGACATGATTTGCACTCTCCTCAAGCAGTTAGATTTCATTAAAAAAAACACAATCTCAATCAAGGCATAGATGGTTGAAAAAGTTGAATATGGCAACATAGTAATTTTATTGTTGTTCATGAATATACATGTTCTGATCATTCCATCCATTCTTTGCAGTTTGCATGCAAACAACTGGAAACTTTTTAACTCAAATTACTAAATATGTTGAGCTCTAAATTCTCAGATAGTACGACTCAATTTGACGAGTTGAACTGAAGATTTCCTCACTAGTTTAATCTTAGAAGGCAATATTCAATTCCTTTCGGTAACAAATGAGGTTCTGCTTGGAAAGGCCTCGGATCAAATACTAAAGAATGGAGGACTTTTTCTAATTATCCCTCCCAATACCTCACTTAAACAAAGCCATAACTAGGTACATATACAATTTCTTTGCTCAAAGAAATTTTCAAGAGACGTGCTGAAATGATCTGCTGAAAAACTTCATGTATACCTGAACTTAACTATAAAAGCAGTGCTAGCAAAAAACTAAAGATAATAAAAAACCAATCAAAGCCATAGTGTTTCGTTCAGGTTTTTTTTCTTTTATCGAAGGTCAACAACTAAGACTAGGGTAGTGTGTTCTAAGTTCGTCCATGTAGTTGGAGGATCTGTGGAGATTCACATCCCGATCTGTTATACCCGGATATGCAGCGGACATAGGTGTTGGACACAGATTTTAACAAAAATGAAGAGTCAGAGCAGCATAGTAAAAAAGAGTACCTTGATTACAACGAAGTCACTCCCTTATCCATATAGAAATAAGTTCCTGATCGGCGTGCATATTGTTATGAGACTTTCCTCATTATCTCCACAGATTTCTCCGATGGTTCCACTGAAATAGAAATCCGAAAGACCATAAAGAAAATTCATCAAAACAATGGGCAAACTTTTAACTCAAAAATTTCACAACCCCATTGATTAACAGCAAAAGAGAGCAGAATCACCTCTCGTTTCTGTTCACCTATTTATCTAATCTTTATTGTTCTTTTATAATATTGAGATTCCTTGTTTTTTTTTTGGTTAAATATCCATTGGTTCTTTCTTTACTCTCCAGTTTCGACTGAATCAGATGGATCATTTGATTTTGAGAAATATATATATATATATATATATATATATATATATATATATATATATATATATATATATATATATATATATATGTATTTGGGACTTAATGAAAAATTTTATAAATTTTAAAGGAGATTTAATTTAAAATTGAAATATAATAAAAATTTTAAAAGGAGAAAATTAACAAGTTTAAATTTTTTTTGAAGGATAAATTGTTTGATTTTTCAAAATTTGGAAGGTTAGGGTAAGAATAAGCATAAGATTTAGACTTGATGAGTTATAATTCAATTTAATTCAATAAAATTATTTTTTTTAAAAAATTCAGGTTGCATTATTTTGGAGATAAGCTTAGGTCATGTTAGGTCGTGTCGTGTTTAGGTAAAAAATCTTTGACTTGATCTTAGATAATAATATAATTATATACTATAAATTAAAGAATAATTGCAACAATGTCTATTACTACATTTTTTTAATTAAGTCTCTATTTTATCAAATAAAAATAATATATGTATATATATATTTGTATCGAGCCGAATCGAATTAGGTATAAATTTTTATTTCAAAAATCAAAATGAATTTTGAATAGAATGAAATCTCTCTAAACTTGACTCAAATTAGATAATAAGTATTTGATAGTATAAAATTCAAATCAAGTTTAGATATAATAAAAACTTGACTTAATCCGAACCATTTACATTCCTATACTAAATCTCTTTGGCTTCCAATATGATAAGTCTATAATAAGAATAAAATGTACAATTTACACGTATTCACATATGGTAAAAATTAACTTATTTCATAACTAGTATTTAGATTAAGACTCTAATTTAAAATTTCAAAAAAAAAAAACCGAAATATAAAGATTAAATCAATAAGTTTTTCAAAATATAAAAAATATTAATTTAAAAGTTACAGTTAGTGATATTAAAATACGTTAATTTACTATTCTATAGAAGAATTTAACCTAAATTTAAATAAAATATAATTTTATATTAAACATAGATTCAAATAGAAGTACTGATTCGAATGGGCAAAACTCACGACATAATGCATTCAAAAAAAATATTTTACGAGATGATGCATTGGCCAGATTAATTGCTCGAATGGGGTAAATTCTACAGTGACAGCATAGGTCGCCATGCACGCCCGACGTCTTTATAGGTCGCCATGCACGCCCGGCGTCCTATAAGGTCGCCGTGCACGCCCGGCGTCCATCATTCTTCGCCCGGCGTCCATCATTCTTTGCCCTCTGCTTTGGTTCTTTGCCTGTTGTTGCTCGCTGATGCTGCTTTGGTGCTATGCATGGGCCATGCACGAGGCATGGGATAGGTCGCGCTGCGCTTTGTTCACGTGGTCTGATCTCGGCAAACCTCTGCATGGGCCATGCACCAAGGATCGGTTCATGCATGGGGCAGTCGGGGCGACCAAGGATCGGTTCTATCGTAGGTTGCCATGGCCGGCGACATGGTAGGTCGCCATGGAGTCTTGACATGGTAGGTCGCCATGGAGTCCCGGCGACATGGTAGGTCGCGAGTCCGGCGACACCGGCGACATGGTAGGTTGCCATGGAGTCCCGGCGACATGGTAGGTCGCCATGGAGTCCCGGCGACATGGTAGGTCGACATGGTAGGTCTGCATCATCATGCGAGATTCCTGCATCGCAACCAAGCTTTAACCCTATCACTCATGCATGCATTGCATCCATAGCTAGCTGGGAGATTCCTGCATCCGTAGCTGCATGCGTTGCATCCATAGCTGTATCATTGCAGCGTTAATTTAGCTGTTAAATGCAGCAAATATTGCTGTTTAATTGAAGACTTTCAATGCTCAATAGTTATACGATTCAATCCTAATATTATTTTATTCAATAGTCAAATTTTAATGACTCTGTACAACAATTTTTTACTTTATATAAATGATATGGGGTTTAGGGTAGAAGCAGAAGCAGAAGCAGAACCAGGAGCATAAGCATAAGCACATATAAACTTTGCCGAGAGAAAGAAAAGGAAGAAGAAGAAAATAAGATAAAGGATCAAACATAGTTTGTGAGGTAATTTTTTATTGTTTAATTTAGTTTATTATATGAAATTATTAGTTTGTTAGTTTAGGGTTTAGGGTAAAACTAAAATCTAGTTAATTAGTTTGTTAGTATAAATTATTAGTTTCTTAGTTTAAGTTATATATTATATTATATAAAAAATTAGTTAATTAGTTTATTAGTTTAAGTTATTAAATATAAAAAAATATTAATTAATTTGTTAATGTCTTTAAACATATATTATATTGTTCATTGAAGTTGAAGTTATATTATAAAAAAAATTAATTAGTGCTTAATTAGTGTGTTATTTGATAGTAATGATTTAGTAATGATTAGTAATAATGAAATTATTATTAATTTTTAATGATTTGATAGTAATGATTTAATAATGATTAGTAATAATGAAATTGTTATTAATATTTAATGATTTGATAGTAATGATTTAGTAATGATTAGTAATAATAAAATTGTTATTAATATTTAATGATTTGATAGTAATGATTTAGTAATGATTAGTAATAATAAAATTGTTATTAATATTTAATGATTTGATAGTAATGATTTAGTAATGATTAGTAATAATAAAATTATTATTATTTTTTAATGATTTGATAGTAATGATTTAATAATGATTAGTAATAATGAAATTGTTATTAATATTTAATGATTTGATAGTAATGATTTAGTAATGATTAGAAATAATGAAATTGTTATTAATATTTAATGATTTGATAGTAATGATTTAGTAATGATTAGTAATAATTAAATTATTATTAATTTTTAATGATTTGATAGTAATGAATTAGTAATGATTTGATAGTAATGATTTATTATAAATATGTCGAATTTGTTAAGGTTTGAAAAAACTAGTCTACTTTCAATATTAAATTTGTAACAAATAACAAACTAGTTTACAATTGTTGCCGATGTCGGGGTGTTGTTGAATGATAATGTTGGGGCGGACGTCTGATGCGTTGTGGCCGTTGCGGTTACTCAGGAGTATGATACTCATCCTCCTCATTCGTTGGGGGCATTTGAACTGACATGTGTTCAAAGTCATACGTCGACGAAAACATGGGAGAGTAGATGGATGCATCAGGCTGCACAAACTCTGGTATGTATGCATTGCCGAACGGTTGTGGTGCGCTATTATCCACATCGGTCATTTCCGCTTCAGGTTGTTGAGATGAACTCCCACTCCCACTTAGTAGAGAGTATTCAACTTTACCAAATCTTTTCTTAAACCTCAAAAATTGTCGCCTCTCTACAATTGTTGTCAAGAATGGCTTTCCATTATCCAAAAAATAAGCAAGGTAAGCCGAAGTCTCAAAATTAAAGTCGTCGTCTTGAATGTCGTCAAGAGTTGGCATGAATGAAGCCCTATTATTCCAAGCATTAATGTAGGTTGCATGCTTCTCAACCCAATTAACATTTTCTTTACGACGACCATCAAATCTGTGCAGCTGGTCATGCGTCTCAACCCAATTCACCTGACGACGACCATCTAAGATTTGGAGGAGGTCATGATCCCATGGACTCCGCGGAATAGGTTGGTGGAAGTGGAATTGCCTCAACACTCTATCCCCAAATTGGATCTCAACAAACGCAAAATTGATCAATGGTGTAACAACACACCAATATTGAAACCCATCTAAAATATCGTGCGGTATCAACGCAAGTATTTCTTCATTCATGTATGGTCTCCAATTAAACTGTAAAATTACAAAAATAATAAAATTTATTTAAATCAAATAATATAGTTAATTTAAATAATAATTAAAAATAACAGATTATACATACCTTCTTTTTTGCCTTAATGTCGATCTTCAGCCTGAACTCTTTAATGTTGTTGTGCACCAACCCCGTGCCTTCAATTTTATGCCTCCATCTGTATATCAATCAAAATAAAAATATGGTCATTTTTATTTTATAATTAATATTTTATATTAAAATAGAGAATTCATATTACCTTCCGGCAAGCGGAAAGTCAACCGCAGTTCAACTAATCGGTGTCAGAAACGGAAGTCTATGCCAAGCCCATGACTGTAGCAGCAACATACATCCACCGATTTCTGCTGTATTATTATCATTCACGACTAATGACGCCTTGCACATCTCACGATACAAGAACGCCAATATCGCCGATCCCCAGCTATATTGCCTACTATTCTCAAAATTTCTTAAAAATGAAGATATTGAGTGTGAACATAACTACCAGATTTATCCGGCATTAAAATACCCCCAATCAACTGTAATATATATGCTCGTGTTGCATATATAATTTCGTGCTCCGTACTATTTGGTTGAAGCTGAAATTCATTCTTCAACCATGACAACCTCACACGCCACCCTTTACACTTTGGTGGTACGGGCGTTTTCTCAAGAAACAAGCTACAAAGTTGTGCCACATTATTAAACTCATGTGACATTACCACTGGCATCCCATTTGTTTGGACCCCGAGTTGCAATGCCACATCCTCCAAAGTTATCGTACATTCGCCACACGACAAATGAAACGTGTGCGTTTCTGGTCTCCAACGCTCAATCAAGGCATTGATCAAACCTGGGACCAACTTGTAATCTCGCACAAATGTTACATACCAAAATCCAGCCTCCTGCAAGTTTTCTTCTATCAATCTGTGTGGCTTGGGCACTTTATGTAGCCGAAGACGAAGGACTCGCTGCTCGTCCTCCTACAATTAAATAATGTAAAACATTTATCACAATCACCATAAAATAATATTCAAATATTTATTAATTATAATTCATTAAACAAATATTTTTTCACCATTATTCCCAAATGACTTGAAATATGTTCATTGTCAAGTCTCAGCAGTGGAATTTGGTCAGCCATTGGAATGAATCTGTAAAAAAAATTAAACAACAGCATTTAAAAAATCATTTAATATAATCTAGTGTTAAGTAACTAACTAACTAACTAATTTACAACCCAACAAAATTTTTTTATATAATAACTTATAATATAATAAACTTATAAAGTAACAAACTAAACTTTTTAAAATATAACTTAAACGTGAATTTTCTTTAAACAACTAATAAACTATTCTTTAATATAACTTCAACTAATAAACTATTCTTTAATATAACTTAAACTAATAAAATATTTTTTAATTATAATTCACTACTAAAAAACTAATTAACTAAATTTTTTATATAAAATAAATTCAACAAATCATATGGCAACTTAACTATTTAAGTAACACAAACTAATTACATATTTTTATATATAACTAACTACAAACTAACTAATTAAGTAAATTTTTTACCCTAACCCTAAACTAACCCTAAACTAACAAACTAATAATTTAAAATAATAAACTAATTTAAATTAAATAAAATGAAAATTTACCTCGATGTTTGCTTGCCGGACTCCCTTTCTTCCTTTCCTTTCTCTCGACACTCTTCTCCCTTTCTTTCTTATGCTTCCTTAACCCCATATCATACCCCCTATATATTAAAGGGTCGGCTGCCATGCACCAATAATTGAAGAATCATGCCATGCACCAATAATTGAAGGATCACGAGCCGTTGATTCTCGTGGATTGCAGCAATAATTGTCGCATGAAGCAGCGAAAATTATGCTGCAATAATGCAGCGAGCAGCGAGCAGGCGACCATGCAGCGTGGAGTAGGGGCCAAAGACAAGGTCGCGAGCAGGCAAGCATGCAGCAGGGGATGTCGTCGGGCGTGCATGGCGACCTAGGAGGTCGCCGGGCGTGCATGGCGACCTAGGAGGTCGCTGGGGGTGCATGGCGACCTATGGTTGGGTTGTGCATGTCCCATGCACACGATCATTCCCATGCACACGACCCTCGTGCACACGACCTGGAATGAACACGACCCTCGTCGGAAGCCACGTCGTAGGTCGCCCGGAAGGCATGGCGACCTACGGCCTCACTGTTGATTTCGCCCTATTTCAGCAAATAATCTTGCAAGAACGTTATTTCGTGAATTATTTATTTTTCGTGCATTATATCGTGAGTTTAGCCGATTCGAATGCATGAAACCCCATTCAATGTTCAACCCACCATGCATCTATTGGACTTGAAATGACTTTGGTCTTTGTTGATCAACAAAATAACACTACTCCAAGAACATGCTTATGTCTCAAACTTCAGTTCAAAGTCCTCGTTAAAAATTTCTTAAACCTAGTCGAAGAAAAAGAGTACCTTTGATGGTATAATAAAACAAAGAACGAGAAAACCTCGACAAAAACAGTTCAAGACAAATAACAGAACCACCCAAAGATTAATAAGAACTAATCAACTTCCACAGGTTCCTGATTTCTACTTGTTGATTCACTATAAACAGCATCAACATATAACATCCTATGCACCACTTGTGGAGACCAGAAATACGTGACAGTATTTCTCCCCTATTATACTAAAACTTTAGGTTAATTACCTTGAGATCGTTCCACAGTTTATAAATTAAATTAGACGCCATATTACAAGATTAATTAAAGTTAAATTCCTATAAGATTAATTAAAGCATGCATGATTTGGAGACAATCGGACTCAAAAACAATCTTATCAAAAACACAAAATCTTAAACCAAAACAAAACTTCAGGGTTCTGCAAAGCGAGGTTCCAAGACTGAAACCTGACATGCCTGATAATTGCAGCAAAATCCGACCTACTCTCCATTCCAAAATTATTTTTCATATGTTTTCGTTTTAGTTCTAAGGCTATGTTTTGATTAATCCAGACCGGCGTGGATCGTACATCAAAACCCTGATTTTGGTGGGTGAGTCTCAAAACGAAAATTTTCTACATACACAATGACTTAAGCTCGAGATATGTTTAAATTTTCTACATACACAATGACTTAAACTCGAGACATGTTTAAACGATATAAAGCTACTTGTCACGTGGATCCTTCACTACCATGCTTTTCTCGCTTCTTCATTCTTGTTTATAACTTTATATTGCATCTCATACCTTTACACGATTTACCATATTTATTCCCATCGATGAATGTTTTCTGTAAAGAAAAAACTTAACTTATGATGCGGGTGCAAGAGTATCTCCCTTCCATTACCAAAAATTGTGTGTGCATATTCCCCCATTCCATAATTCTCTTTTCCATCCCCCCATATTGGGTCCATAATATTTAATTTCATTCGAATACAAAATATTGGTGCTTTACAAAATGGCAAATATTATTGACAACTTTAAAGGTAAAGAAAGCTAGAACTCTCTTTGGGACTTGGTCACTTTAGTTTATCACCCAAAAGTTTAAAAACTGATGTCCATGTCAAATCAATTACACCCAGTAAAAGAACAATACAAAACGTTAAAAATCTACCTATAAATTTTGCTAAACAGAAGCAGACATCAAATGTATAAAAAAAATGCACTCGTTTTGATTTGATCTCTCTGTTTCCGATGAAAACGAAGTAAATAGCATAAATATGGATAGAATTAGCTATCGATGCTGTAAAATTCTTTGCAAGTGTTAAAGTTCGTTAGTACTTCTCTCTTCTTTTCATTTCATCAAGCTGGAAGAAAAAAGGAAATATAGCCAAGATCGATTGATCAAGTTTATTAATCATGGCAACCTCATGATCTTATAATCATAAGGATCAAAGATCAGAATAGATATTTTTGAAAGAATTAACACTTTTAATTAAAGGATATTGATAAAGTTGGATTCAAGTTATAAAAATGAAATGAAAAAAACCCTAATATATGCACAACAAAAGCTACAGTTTCAGCTATATATGATGATGAATACGGTAGATCTGCTTGATTAAAGCCATTACCATGCCTTTTCTATGTTTCTTGTTGTATTCTAAAGCATAAAAACAGTTCAATATGCATCAGATGAGCATGGAAGAATTGCGGAAAGTAAGTTAAAAAGAAGTTCACAATGAAATATTGAATTGCAGAAAGTAGAGAGATCTCTTACAGAACATACTGAACTGCTGAAGAACACACAGAAAGCTAACATAGTGAACAGCTGAAGAACACATAGAAAACTAACATAGTGAACTGCTGAAGAACTTAACCCAAACCATAAAAAACTAAGTAAGAATTTGCCTTGATGGAGCAAATATTTTCGGACCAAGATGCTTGATTCCCCCAAAAGAAGTTGAGAAAAGATCCATCACCCAGAATAAAACCTATGTCTTGCTTTTGTTTCTTTGATCAAGTCTTCCCCATCTCTAGTAAAACGCACGTCTTTTAGCCTTTTTGGATCTGAGCTTCTCCTTGCTTTATTGGGTTGATGAAATGATGACATGCTTTGAAGAGCGTGGAAGGGTCTTGTGATGAAAAGAAAGGTGAGTGGGAACAATGATGCGAAGGAGAAGATTACCAAACAAAGGAACACTATCATTGCTGTTTTGTTGTGGCGTCGAAACTAAGAAAATTCAAGGTTTTTCTACTCTCTCTCCTCCCTCCCTCTCTCTCGTCAGAAAGAGAGAGAGAGAGAGAGAGAGAGGTCATCAAAATCCAACATCAGCCATTAGCTTAAACATGCCATGCTTTAACCCTAGTTTTTTTTATACAATCTTATGACAATAAATATTCGTACGTTTAATATTATAATGCTCTAATCTAAAATTTTAAAATATAATAAATTCTTTAATCACTTAAATAGCATGATTCTAAATATTACTACTTAAATTTAATAGTGTTTTAGATTTTCTTTATAATGTCATAAAATATGAGGTTAATTATCGAAACAATACTTAAAATGATATTTTTATTAGATTATATTTAAATAATATTATTTATCAAGATGATATTTTTTTTATAAAAAGTACGTTACGATAAAAACGTTTTTTAAAATGTGAATTCTGTGGCTAGGACACGTATTTATGGACATCTTATATATTTTGGACAGTCTCTTCTACACTGGTGTTTTCCACGATCAAGTTGAAAGAAATGAGAATAATCAGTTAAAAAGTCTTAAAAATGTTGTACGCAATTTATTAAAAAAACACATGTGGTACTATCTATGACATGTATTTGTACGATTATGAGTCGATCAGACGACGATGATGATGTGTATAAATCTTATCTTCAACCATAGAAGGATGCATTTTTAGAAAATTATACGTAAACACTTTTAAAAAATTCATATATGACCTTATAAATTTAAAAGTATCATAATAAAAATTTATTGATTTTGAATTGTCAATAATAATTTTTTAATTTGATCAAATTCATATCAATATGATAAATAAAGATAATTTAAATATTAAGATCCTGAATGTTCTATAATACAACAATTATCTTTAATTATTATAATACAACAATATTAAGATCCTGAATGTTCTATAATACAACAATATAATTTGATCAAATTCATATCAATATGATAAATAAAGATGATTTAAATATTAAGATCCTGAATGTTCCATAATACAACAATTATCTTTAATTATTATACTAATATGAATTGATCAAATTTAATAATTATTTTTATCATGTCAATAAAGATAATATTACCAAAAATATGATGTGAAAATTAAAAAAATTTATGTCACGGCTTTAAAACTATCACCTGATGAAAGAAATTGTATTGATTGTGAAATAATTTGGTTTGAAAATTATCAAGTATTATACTATATTACAATTTAACATGGAAATAATTAATAAAGTAATTTAGTTATATTTAATCTCATTTATAGAATTAAAAAAAATCCTATCCTTAATTTATTAACCCAACCAATAATAAATATAATGATATAAAATAGTATTTTTATATCTATTTCAAAGTTAGACTAGGTTTATAAATGAAACAAGACAGATCGTAAGCTACTTGAGATCGATTTAATCAAAATTCAATAAATACTCGACTCAAATAAACTTAACTCAAACTCAACTCGAATTCTTAAAGAACTGAAATGATATATTTGATACTCTACTAAACAAAACTCGCAAGTAACTCTAAAATGTGGCAGGTAACTCTAAAATGTGGCAGTTTGACTTAGAAAGTGGGCTGATTATAGGATAAAAAGTGTGAGTTTTCAGAAACCTAGTGACTGACATCTCGAAAATGTATGATAATCATTATTATTCCTGACAATGTTCAAATCATATGCAATTAATATTTCTCACTTTCAGCCTTAGCTGTAAAGTCTAGTTTTGGGCAGCAGTGCAGGAACCTAGGAATTTCCTTTTTCCTTTTATAATAATTATATTGACACCACCCTGAATCTCAAAATATTGTAATCACTCGCCTCCAAATGTGAATGTTGTCGGGCTCAATTGCTTTTGCTTTTTTATATTTAGTGTTTTAAATCGAATATACATGGAATTTGATCAACTCAAAACAACCAGGTGCTGCCTCAAGTGACGATGCAAAGGGAACATTCACTTGGAATTTCATATCATATTACTCAAACAATAATTCAATAAACATTTTATTGCCCCGGGATTCGCCGTGAACCCTAAACAATACATACACCATAATTTACAAGTTTTCAT